GGGAGGCGGGAAGGAGAGCCGGCACTGCTCTGCTGCCCCAGTGGCTACTGGTCCAGGGGCGTTCTGAGCTTGACGAGCCCTGTCCGGCGTCTGAGAACCGTCCTGGAGCAGCAGAGGGCTGGCCACGCCGCCTGCCCAGCCTCCAGCACAGGACTATGTAGTCTGCCCTACTGCCCCTGTGCAGAGCTGGCTGGGGCCTGCCCAGGCCACCGGGTGGACTGAGAGGGTCTGACAAGGAGCGCAGCAGGGGTCCGGAGGATGACCTCCAAACCCTGAGGGCAGGGACAGAAAGAACCCACCCAGGATGGCTGTGAAGCTCTTCATCGCAGGCATTTACCACAGGGTGGGGGGTTGTGTGCTTGGGAGGTGCTCTGGGGGGGTGCACACTCAGAGGGTAAAGGCACAGTGCTTGGGACGTCCTTCTTTTTTTCTTTTCTTTTTTCTTTTACAGTTTTGTAATTGAGATTTATTGGTTGTGTCAAGGACCAGTACAGACATTTCAATTTGTACCCAATTCTTAGCATACGTACCATAAATTTAAAAAACCAAGTATAGGGATTCCTTTTAAGTTATTCCAGTGATGTTCCAGCTTCACATGTGTAGGCAAATTTTCCTTAAGAGGATATCAAGAACCACTGTCTTCAGATGTTGAAAGCTGTTATGTAAGTCCCACCAAATCGCAATTTAGTATCATACAGACTGCATACTTCAAATTTCCAATCTTTCACGGCACATTAACAGAATTATTAGGAAAACTGGACTACCACGACCAAAGATGTTACAGAGTGCACACAGTTCTGACAGGGAGCGCAACAATCAAAGAGTGGTTTTTCTTTAGGAAACAATACTACTAAAAAACATAATAGAAGTCATTTAAAATATTCAAGACACATTAAATGTATGACTGTGACTCCAAACTGCCATTTAGTATGCTTTGTATTCAGGATATAAAAACTACCCGCCCGCCCCCACCTATGGAATGTTAAGCTGACACGTAAGAGAGTCGAAGCCTCCTATAAGTCAATATCCCACTATTTCCTGGTTGTACTGAAAAATAAACAACCAGTACATGATTTCACCTCTTAAAAAAAGCATTTACACTTAAAAATTAGATGAGGTGGGCTTCTCTCCTTAAAAATGTTTCTAGAACTACTTAAAAACTTGCATTTACAAAGTAGTTGATAAAAATATTCCTCTGGATTGTACAAGGGAGTCAGGGACCACTGATGAGACATGGGATATGACATTACTCAGACTTGACTTCTTTCGCGCCTGCTTCCTCAGAGGGTGGACTCTCCTCATTTTGTTTCTCCATTTTCTGCAGGTAAATCTTTAGTGTCTCGGTTGGCCACTTCAGCCTGTTTCCCCTTTGTTCCCCTTTTCCCTTTTGTTTGAACTCTTTTGTCTGAAGATTTATCCTTCCCTGCCGCCTTTTTTGGCTTCATCTCCACTTTTGCAGGAGATTTAGCCAACAACCTCACCGATCTCGCCGATCTCCATGATCTCCTCTTGGGCTCTTCCTTGGCCGCCCCCTCGGCTGAGCTGACCTTCCTCTTGGGCATCTTGACTGCGGACAGGGTGCGTGCTGGGTGCCTGATGAGGCCGCGAGGTGCCTAGAACCTTTGCGGAGTTCAGCGGATAAACCCTATCGCTCCTGCCACCGCCGGAGCTGCTGGAACTCCGGGAAGGTCCTTCTGCAACTCCCTGGCAATGTCTGTGGTTACTGCCCTCTCTCAGCCTCCAGTGCAGGGAGTCGGGTTTTTGCTAATGAGGGGCGAGAACTGCTATCTTAGTTGTTTTCATTCTGCATTTCTATTATTAAGAGCAAGATTGTGGACCTCAGGCCAGCCAGTGGCATGGCGGTCAGAAGGCCGGATCCACATGGCCAGCTGTGCCATGTCCCAGACCCAGAGGCTTGAAAATGACACCGGGTGTGTGTGCCTGCATGCTCAAAGTCCTGAGAGTGGAGAAGGACCACGGCATGGCCATTCCCAGCAGGGTGATTTCTCACTTCCCCTGTCTCTAGCCAGTGCATGTACCCTGTAGCAAAAACCTAAGACAAAACAGAATGCTCTGTGACAGACTCGCACCTGGAAAGTTTCCTAGTTCAAGTCCAGAACCCCCCAGAGCACGCGTGGCCCATCTGCTCAGGGTCAGGTGCTGGCTGAAGGCTGGGACTGATCGCAACAGGGCTGTTGGGGGTTCTCTCTCTCTCTCTCAGAAGAAATGGGTTCTGTTTTTCTCTTTCTTTCTCAGAAGAAATAAAGACAAAAACCCAAACACTGAATGCACAGTGGAATGCATTGCAGCATGCTCCCCCCGTAGATCAAAACAGACTGTAGAAAGGAAGGAGAGCACTCTGCCCTGCTATCGTGTCACTCCAGGATGCAGTTCTTTCTTTTTTAAAAAGGAATCTTTACTTATTCATTCCTTTCTTTTAATTTGACCAGAGAGAGACACACACAGAGGAAAAGTGAGAGAGCAAGCCACCAGGTCCAGGACTCAAACCATGGTTAGCCATGTGTAAGTCCAGCACCTTAACCACCACGCCACCTGCTGGTCCCTCCCCAGGATGTATTTCTTTTTTTTGGAGAGATTTTCATTGTAGGGCACGTGCGCTCGCCAGACAGACAGAGAGCGACATAGAGACAGAAAGCGAGAAATCACCCCCCAGGGGGGATGGTCACGCCGCAATCCCTTCTCCTCCATTCTCCTCTCGGGATCTTGGGCACGCACGCACACGCGCCCGGCGTGAGTTTTAAGCCACCGGGTCCGGGACGTGAACCGCGGTCGACTATGTGGGAGTCCAGCGACATAGCCATTACGCTAACTGCTGGTTTCCCCCAGGATGTATTTCTAAAGTGAAGGCACCAGTAGGCTTTACAGGTTTGATGATACACAAAGGCATCCCAGAAGACAGGAGAGACAAAACCGCCTGCTCATATTTCCAAATAGAACAATGGAAGGGACGTTTTTTAAGTTACAGTGAGCATTTACCTAGCGGGGAAAGAGCAGAGCGAGGCGGGGCTTCGAGCGAGGCTTCTTCATACACACCCTGCTCTATCGTCTCTTTGGAGACATGGGAATGTGCACTGACTTAAAGAAATGAATATCAAGTTAGTTGATGTCCTGTGACCTCAATAAGCATGTCCTGAGGGACACGGATCATGATCGTTCAGGTTTCTCTTTCTTTCTCTCTCTCTCTCTATATATATACACACACACACACATATATATATCATTTTATTGAACTTTAATTTTTTTATTTATTTTAATTTGGTCAAAGAGAAACAGTGAGAGAGGAGAGAGAGGTGAGAAAGCAAGCTGCCAGGTCCAGGTCCAGGACTCGAACCACCATCAGCCATGTGGGAGTCCAGCACCCTTAACCACCACACTACCTGCTGGCCCATCCCACTATATATTTTTGTACTGATACAAAAATAATAATAAAACCAGAAAACAAAAGTGTTGGCAGGACGTGGAGGGGCTGAAGCCTCATGCGCTGCAGGTAGAAGGTGAACCGTGCAGCTGCTTTGGGAACCAGCCTGCCAGTCTGTAAACACTCAAGTGAGGTCAACCATGTGGGAACCGGAGGGCCCCTGAACGTGCCAGGTTTGTGCACGCCCATGGCCCGGGCAGGGTGGGGCTGGGCTGGGGCACGGCATGAAGACCCTGCTGAGAGCACCTGTCTCTCTGAGTTGATCTTTTTTTTTTTTTTTTTTTTTGGAAGAGGTTTTGGCTATGGGGCTTGTGCCCCCCCCAGCCATAGAGACAGAAAGTAAGAAATCACCCCCCAGGGGGGATGGCCATGCCACAATCCCTTCTCCTCCATTCTCTTGGGATCTTGGGCATGCACACACACGCGCCCGGCGTGAGTTTTAAGCCACCGGGTCCAGGACACGAACCACAGTCGACTACGTGGGAGTCCAGCGACATAGCCATTATGCTAACTGCTGGTCCATCTGATTTGATCTTAAAAGAAATTAAGCAGAGTTAGCAAACCCAGCAGAAATGAAAGCACAGCCCACACGCAGCCTTGCACATGAATGTTCAACCTTATTTAGAGTAGTTGAGAACTGGGAAACCCCCAGTGCCCCTCCCTAGGGATGAATGGATACTGTGTGATAAAGCAATGGGCCGCCCCTCAGCAGGAGGCAGGGGCTGGCTGGTGGTGTAGTACAATGCACTGCTTAAGATAAGGTGCTGGGAACCAGCAGATGGTGTAATGGCTGTCGCTGGACTCCCACGTAGTCCACCGCAGTTCGAGTCTCAGACCCAGTGGCTTAAACTCACATCGGGCACGTGTGTGTGCGTGCCCAGGATCCCAAGAGGAGAATGGAGAAGGAGTTGTAAAGTGGTTATCCTCACTGCAGGGTGATTTCTCACCCTCTCTCTGTCTCTCTCTGGTGAGTGCACATATACTATAGCCCTCCCCCCCAAAAAAAATGTAAGAAGAGGTTATCCCCCACATGGCACCTGTGATCAAAATCTCCATCCCAGTCAGCCCAAAGCACTCCAGATTTGCACCCTCCATGTAGAAGGTCTAGGGAATTAAAGGAAGGCGTTGCTAGAGTGACCAGACCTAAGAAGGTGGCCGCCTCTCTCCTCTCCCACGAGTGCTCACATATGCCAACATGAACACAAGGAAAACAATTTTTTTAATTATAATTATAAAATAAAAAGGAATGTTGATATACCCGACAGCATGGGTGAATTTAAAATTTTTTTTTCTTTTCTTTTTTTTGGAGAGGTTTTTGCTATATGGCATGTGCGTTCGCCAGAGAGAGACAGACAGAAAGTGAGAAATCACCCCCCAGGGGGGATGGCCATGCCGCAATTCCTTCTCCATTCTCCTCTCGGAATCTTGGGCATGCACACACGCACCCGGTGTGAGTTTAAGCCACCGGGTCTGGGACTTGAACCACAGTTGACTATGTGGGAGTCCAGCGACATAGCCATTACGCTAACTGCTGGTCCCCCGAATTTAAAAATAATTTTGTGTGCTCACCTTGCAGCATCTATACTAAAATTGGAATGATACAGAGATTAGCGAGACCCCTGAGCAAGGATGACACACAGATTTGTGAAGCGTTCCATATTTTTCTTTCAGCCAAGCCAGGAGGATGGTTCCAACAGACCTAATAATCTGAAGTCTAATAAGTAATCATTATCACTTTGCTAAGTACAAACTAGGTTTTACAAAAGTCCATACTGAATGGGGCAGCCCTGGGACCTGGTGATCAGGGGAGTCAGGTCCCATAGGGGCAAGTGCTTTCTCACTCTCTGTCTCTCTCTGGTAAAATTAAAAAGTAAATAATAATACAATTAAACAAATCTTTAAAAAGGAAGAAAGAAAAACATCGGTTGATCATGTGTGCAAGCCCCAACGCTCAACAGGATGGGGAAATGGAGGAGGGACTGCGGCAGGACCACGCCCCAGTAGATGGTGCTTCCTCCCTCTCCATCTCTTCGGAGCACACACACCTTCTAGCAACAAAAAGTATATACTGTATGGTTCCATTTGAAGAGAAGTCTAGAAAACGGAAACTATAGTGACAGCAGATCAGCAGTGCCCTGTGTGAGGGCTCGAAAGAAAGGATTACCAAGAGGCACAAGGACATTTTGGAGGGTGTCTTAGTCCATTCCTGCCACTAAAACGAAATATCACAGATGGGCAATTTACAAATAAATGGATTTCTCATAGTTTCGGTGGCTGGGCAGTCTGAGATCAAGACACCAGGAAGCCCACCTCCCAGTGCATGTACCCTGCAGTGAAAACAAAAATGTGAGTACCAAAGGGCACACGTGCTCCCCAGAGGGAGAAAGCAGCCCCCAGCAGGGACAGCCATGCCGATTCCTTCTCTTCCATTTCTCCATCCTGTTGGGATGTTGTGAGCTGCACACATTGTGCCTGGCATGGTTTTCAAGTTGCCAGGGCCAGGATCGAAACCCATGGTCAGCCATTCAAAATCCAGCTCCCTTAACTGCTAGGCTGAGGCCTGCCCTGTATAAGGAGTTTCTAACATAATTCACCTTTGTATTCCTGGGATAAACTCAGCTTGGTCATGACAGATATGGTATGCTATTTGTAGGCATTTCTGCATTAATTTTATCCTTACTGCCTTCTAATTGCTTCTACCTACCTGACGAGACCTGCCTTTCTTTTTTCACACAGCCATTTCTGGGCTTTGGGGCTTTGCTGACAGCTGACGCTGGACATGAGCTGCGGAATGTTCTCGCCTTTTCTGTTCTGGGAGAACTTGTTCTTTACGGTCAGAATAATCTGTTCCTCGACAGCTTGGTGAAACTCGCCTATGAAACCATCTGTGTTGGTATGTTCTTTGCAGGGAGGTTTTTAATCACAAATTACCTCTTAATGATTACAAGGAAAATCCAAGCCAATCCCCTATGAGGTGCACACACTCCGGGGAGAGGGAGAGGAAAAGCCGCTCCATCATCCGTGCCCCTCCGCCCTCTCCCACACGCACAGGCACCTTTCTCAAGGTCGAGGCGGAGGAGGGGAGCACCAGCCCGGGAGTAACCACAGCTGGGGGCACGGCTTCCTTGACAAGGGCAGGCTGGGCAGAGTCGGGAGAACTCCAAAGTTGGGGAGGGGGACACATAAGCAGGGAGAGGCATTGGAGACGTGAATAGAAGCAACTTTTGGGAATTTTGAAGGGGGCAGAGAAATGAGGCGTCAGCCGGAAAGCAGAGGATGGACTAGGATGATTTTTTTAAGGCTGGCCCCGTAACCTGGTTAGAACCGGGGAGCCAGAGCCCATCCGGCCTGCTGCGGATCCAGTCGACCTTGTGACTTGTCATCACACCGGGTGCATGCGGATGCCCTGGACCCCCACAGGAGGGAGAACTGGAGATGGCACTGTGGTGTGAGCACTCCCAGTTGGGGTGCCTTCTCCCGCTTTGGCAAAGAAACACCCCTCCCTCCCACAAAACGAAGGACCAGCTGGCGGTGTGGTTGTCGAGACTGGGTCCCACGTGGCCCACTGCAGGGTTGGAGCCCTGGACCCAGTGGTTTGAAAAAACCACACGCCAGGTGTGTGCATGTGTGTGCAAACGTGTACATACATGTCCCAAATCCCGAAAGGACG